TTGTCCCTTATTGTAAAAAAAAAGAAAAAAAGAAAATGGACTTAATAAACATATCAATCTTAGAAGGCAACTAAGGTTTAAGTAAGTCAATAGATGTAAAGCTATCATACATGAATACAGTATGACACTATAAATAAGGTGTCAACAATCCAACAAATATGAATTGGAGATAAAAGAATCTTTTCTAAAGTGAGATGGTTATTTGTGGCATGTCCAAAATTTTTGATAGTGGGAGGTAAAAGTACAGACATATCTTTTACAGTCTCTCTACTATTTTAGAAAATAACTTGGGAGAAAACTTTACTCATACACATGTAAATTATAAATTTATTCACTGTTTGGGGGAAATGTTAAAGTCACCATAAGAAGAAAAATCTAATGATGAAGATGGAGTTAACTGAGCTAAGTGTAGTTTGGATGTTTCTTTAGCCAACCTGTGATCTCTGATTTACTGGATAACGTCTTTCTTTAAATAGGGATTTGGACTCTACTTTTGTCTCTCCCCACATATTATGACTGAGATTGCAATAGACAAGCTTTTAAGAACTCTGTCACTGATTACTAAAATCGGACTATCCCCTATACGGGGTTATGTGTGAGAGGTCCATGGAAGCTGCTGCCAGCAAGGATGAGAGGAGACCACCCAAAATCCCAGGCTAAAAAAAACAAATGCAAAGAGCCCTGGAGGTTTTCCTTCACTAATGATGGGCAAGATCCAATGGTGATTGATTTTATAAAATATAATAACTTGAAATGATTATGTATGAGACACTATAAATGAAGAGCAATGTGAAATAAAATGTATATGGACTTTGTAAGCAAACCAATACAAAATTGAAAAAAAAAAGATGCTAACAGACAGTTCATTTCTAGGAGGTAGTCAGAAATCCACACTGCAGATAGGAGCCACTATTGTCATCCAATGGTGATTAATTTTATAAAACGTAATACATGAGATTGGAACAGGATAGAGCAGGGTATAGGGATGCTGTACATAGGGTCACCATGAGTTGCAAGCAACTTGATGGCACATGACAACAATGCATGAGAATGATTGTATAAAACCCAATATGAAAAAAGTGTGAAAAGCCAATAATTTTTTTTAAAGTACTCTTCATATTAGACTTTTAAAAAAAATTACTGTTTCTACTAGCCACAGGGGAGGAAAAAAAGTCTGGGCATAGCTGTCTTCACTGTGAAGTTAGGGGATGAAGTTTTCAGTGAGTGTATTACAACAAAGAGATACAGCAGCAACTGCCAGGAGTTCAGTGGAAAACAGTTACACTGATATGAGGATGATAGGGAAGGATCAACAAAAGGGCTGCGTACAAAAGTGTTATGTAGAAAACATGAGATCTGCAAGGAACAGTGACTGGCCTTCGGGTGACAACAGAGGAAAAGGACTCCACTTATGTTATAGGGACAAGAGAATGAAGAAAAGACTCTTCTGAAAGACCATAAGAGGAGCTGTGACCTGAAGTTAAGAATACAGTTATCCTGACTTGACCCTGTAGAGAGGGAGCCAGGGAAATAAATAGACTGACCTCACTCGCCTTCCCTGTGAGTCCTGCCAGGCCTCCCCATGGGCCAAACCAAACTATAGCCAGAAGGCAAGGGGCCCACTGATGTGGCCCTCAGAGGACAGTGTCCTGCAGAGCACAGCAGCATGCACAGGATGGCAAGCAGAGGGCCAAAGAGAAGTTCTCAGACACAAGAAGTCAGCCTGGCTAAAGCAGGTGCTCCCATGCAGACTCTACCTGCAAGTGGAGATCAGTGACCATCTAAGTTAACTCGTGAAAAATGTGGGAAGAATAGGCAAGTGGAGGAAATGAAGTAGCTTTGAATCACAGAACTAATAATATAGTTGTTGTTGAGCACCATAGAGTTGGAACAGACCCATAGCTGACCCTTCAGCAGGTTTTCATAGGCAGTTGATCACATGGGAGGAGACTGCCTAACCTTCTCCTGTGGGGCACTTGGTAACCTCGAACCACATGCCTTTGGGATTTCAGCAGAGCTTGTTGCCACTAGGCCACCAGAACCCTTACGTGCATGCTCTCTCTCTTCCTTCCTCCCTGTCTCTCTCGCCCTCTCCATGTGTCTCTGTCTGTCTCTCTGTCTCGCTTTCTCTGTCTCTGTCTCTGTATCTATATCTATCTCTCTCAACATGCATATGGTCACTGAATGATATATTTGTAACTAAATGTTCCAAATGAACTATTATTATTTTTTTTTAAAAAAAGTTTGGTCGTCATTGAGATCATACACAGCAAACATACACCAATCCTTGCCAATCTTTGGTATCACTACTTTCAACTCTGATCCTATAATGAAAATTCTTTAAAAATGTGTAATTCAACTATCGCTTATTATTTATATAATGATTAGCAAGTACTAAATTTTTAACAGGTGTAAGGTGTGTGAACATAACAAGAGTGTGCAAGGAAAACAATGAAGTTATGTTGTTAATCTCAACTCAAATTCATTACCATTGGAGTCAGAAGGAACATATCGCTGATCCTCCAGTGAGTTTTCCAAGGCTACAAATCACACTGGAGAAGAATATCCATCTTTCTTCCATGGAATGGGATTTTATTTGAATGAAATGGGGTAGATCTGAACAGCCAGAGATACACCACACCATCTTTAGGTTAGCACTGTAAATCCCTACACACTATCCCACCAGAACTATGGTCAAACCATGCATCTCCTCAGAGCAGTCCCATGTGCTGTAGAGTAGAACTGTCCCACAGAGTCGTCTAGGCTCAGGAATCTTCACATTAGCGGACCCCAGGTCCATCTCCATGGGCCCACTGCATTAGTTTCAACACACAACCTGTAGGCACTACTTACTTTTACATTATTCTTAATGAGTCTAATGTCATTTAATTATAAATGTCATCTAAAATGAATCATAAATTTTCACCTTTTAAAATTGATCAATTAAAATAATTACATTTCCTTGTGGTATAATACATGTATTAAAAATTTGCCATTTCAATGATTTTTAGTTGGTTAAATACTCACGGGTTCCAGCCCAAATCTTGTGGGTTCACATATAGAATGCCAGCCCTGGAAACAGTAGCCGGGGTTGCTGTCCTTAGGTGATGAATTTCAAACAGAAGCCTCATTGAGGGTGTCAGGGCCACACGTTCATTGCTGGCCAGGGTTAGCACCTGCATGGGGCAGTGAGGCAGGAAGCACAGACAGGCTTCAACAGTGAGCAAGTGCACGCTGCCAAGAACTATGTTCTTCTTTTTCATGGTGACCCCATGTGTGCAGAGAACTGCTCTACAGGGTATTGTAGGTTGCAATTTCCCATAAGCAGATGACCAGCCCTGTCTTCTGGGAAGCCTTTTGATCGAAGTTAGTGGATTGAACCACTATCCTTTTCCTTAGCTGTTGTTTTGTGCCTTAGTTTTGGAACTGACTCATATCTGACCTTGTAGTGGGTGTTTAGAGGCTGTAAAACACATGGGAGGAGACTGTCTATCCTTTTCCTACAGAGCAAATGATGGATTTGAACTGCCTGCCTTTGGGATTTCAGTGTAGCTTCTTACTAGTGGGCCACCAGAGCTCCCTATATTTTTATGCAAATAATACGTAACTTCCATAGGTAGTTGGCAGACAAATGTAGAAAGCCAAACCCAGAGGCCTCAAGTCTATCCCAACTCACAAAGATGTTGTAGGACAGAGCAGAACTGCCCTCCAGGACTTCCTAGACTATAAATCTTCAGAGAAACAGACAGCTACATTTCCCCCCATTAAGTAGCTGATGGGATCAAACTGTTCACCTTTCAGTTAATATCCCACTGCTTAGCCCACCAGGGCCTCTGACATTATTTCCATAAAAATATAATAGTTGAGGGTTTGGCCATTTGTACCACCCAAGGACTCCAAGTCATTAAGTTGATTAAGTTGATTAAGTTGATTCTGACTCATGATGGCTCATATTTTCCCCAGTAGAACTGTGTGGTTCAAATCCACAAGCTTCTTTGAGAATTAAAGATGAGTTAGTCTCTTCCTGTAAGGATTTACAGCCTCAGAAACTCAAACAGGAGGTCACCAGGAGTTGGAACAGATCTGAGGGCAGTAGCTATTCAGGCTTTTGGTTTTTGTTGTTGTTGTTGTTGTGTTTTGTTGGTTGTTTTGTTTAATTAATTTCAATGAACATGTACAGAGATTTTGGATTTCCATTCATTCATTGTTGCACTTTTCTCCCTGCCCACCCCACCTCCACCCCCAGTTAGCTCTTCTCTTTGAAAAGTAAAATTCCTTCATTGGTATATAATCCCCCGGCACCCCCCCATTCCCATCCCAAGTTTACTCCACTCTGCAACCTTCATTCCAGACTCTTATGATAATCATTGTTGTTGTTGTTGTTGTTATGTGCCATCGAGTCATTTGCGACTCATAGCAACCCTATGTACAAGAGCCCTAAATGCCGTTTTATCCTGTGCCAACCTCGCTGTTTCAAACACATTCATACCCACCACTCCACTCACAGAATTGATCCATCTCACCGAGGGTCTTCTTCTCCTGCACCATCCCTCCACTCTCCCAAACATGATGTCCCTCTCCAAGGACCAGTCCCTCCTTGCAACATGCCCAAAGTATGTCAGACGAAGCATCAGAATCCTTGACTCCAGGGAACATTCTGGCTTCACCCGCTCCCGGACAAACCTGTTTGTTCTCCTAGCAGTCCACGGTATACTCAACACTCTTCTCCAGCACCACAACTCAAAGTCATCAATTCTCTTTCTATCATCCCTATTCACTATCCAACTGTCCAATGCATAGCACGTAATTGCAAAGACTATAGCCTGGATCAGGAGCACCTTATTCTCTAGTCTGATGTCATTGCACTTCAGTACTCTTGAGAGGTACCTCACAGCTGACTTTCCCAGTGCAATTCATCTCCTGATTTCCTGGCTGCTGTTACCAAGAGTGTTGACTGTGGAACCAAGCAAACTAAAACTGTTAACTATCTCAATTTCTCCACCTTCCATACTGATGCTGCCAATTGGCCCAGTGGTGAGAATCTTTGTTTTCTTGATGTTGAGCTTCAATCCATATTGAAGGCTGCAGTCCTTGACCTTCTGCAGCAAGCGCTTCAGGTCCTCCTCAGTTTCAGCGAGCAGGGTTGTGTCATCTGCATAACGCAGGTTGTTGACGATTCTTCCACCAATCCTGATGCCACATTCCTCTTCATACAGCCCAGAGTCTAGGATGATCTGTTCTGCATACAGATTGAAAAGGTATGAAGACAAAATACACCCCTGACGGACCCCTTTCTTGATTTTGAACCATCCAGTGTCTCCCTGCTCTGTTCTGACAACTGCCTCTTGGTCCAAGTATAGGTTTCGCATTAGCACGATCAAATGTTCTGGGATTCCCATTCTTCTCAGAGTCAGCCATAGCTTGTTGTGATCCACACAGTCAAAAGCCGTTGTATAATCATATTATGATAATCATAATGCCCTAAAATATATTGCTTTTAAACTGTTCTCTCCCTCATCAGTTTCAATGCAACATGCATAATTCATACAGTTTTTCTCATTCTTACCCTAACCCTGATGTCAGTTCCATTCTACAGCAGTGGCACTAGGCAGTGTTTGTCCTTTTGAGACTGAGATATTTCATTCAGCATAATGTCCTTGTTGGTCACCCATTTTGAATAATATTGCTTGAGTTCTTTGTTTTTCAATGCAGCGTAGTATTCCATTGTGTGAATATACCACAGCTTCTCTATCCATTCATTTGTTGATGGGCACTTAGGTTGTTTCCTAAGTGCCTTTCCTTGCTATTGTGAACAAAGCTGCGATAAACATAGGTGTGCATATATCTGCTTGGATGTCAGTTATGGTCTCTTTGGGATATATTCCCAGTAGTGGAATTGCTGGGTCAAATGGTATCTCTATTTGCAACTTTTTGAGAAAGTGCCATACCTCCTTCCACAGTGGTTTCACCATTTTACACTCCCACCAACAGTGAATAAGGGTTCCAGTTCCTCCACAACCTCGCCAGCACTTGTTGCTTGCTGCTCTGTTTTTACCTTTAGCAAGGCCTTTTTGTGGTGCCCCTGGGTGGTTTCAAACAGCATTATTTGGTTAATACTCCAGTATTGTTGTTGTTGTTGTTCTAGTCTGTCTAATTGGAAACTACTCATAATTGATCCTCCCACAGGTTTTCCCCAATGGGAGGGGTTTGCTCATCTGTCTCCCACAGACCAGCTGTTGGATTTGAACTCCTTTGGATTAGCAGTGCAACTCCTGACCCAAACGGCAATCAGAGTCATAGATGTCACAAAAACAAGCACTTTCTCCCAAAGGAGCAGTCAAAGGTTATGAACTCAGTGTGAATAAAAATTTAAGTTCTTCCTCAGAAGAACTGACTGACCTTGAGGGGAAAACTTACCAAAACAGATTTATTAATGTCAACCTTTAAATAAGTATGGCAACTAAAATATTAGACAAAAAAACAGGCCAAGTGTTAAACCATTAAATACCATTTACAAAAATAAACTATCCTTAGAATTTTAAAGACTTCAATTATCATGTATTATACAGAAAGTCATCCAAGTATAAAGATCTGAGATATTTTATGATGAACAATGTCTTAGTTCAGAGAGTACTAATCATTGTGAAAGTGGTTACAAATTCTATTCTGTCATAATGGTGATTACTCATTTCTCTCTTGACCCTAACAACAGGTCTAGCTTAGCTTAAGTGGTACCTTATAGACTTTTATCATCACTTTCATCTTCCTTTTTGTTGCTGGCAATACTTAATTATAGCAAAACATTAGAGGGAAAATATTCCTATTGAATCTGTGCTTATAGGAACAAATTAATCTGATTCGCTAAATCCCTCCAATTTAAACATGACACGACCCACTCTTACTGTTCAAGTAGTTCAAACTTAATAAAATATAAGATGTAGTAATTTAAGCTTAGCTCTTCAAAAGGTAAGCTCTGTATGATCAAAATGAAATTCTTAGATATGTATCTCTCATTAAAGATGGTTAAAGTTATACTAACATGAAGACTATTTTGCTTTAAATTCTTTAACAAGGAAATGAAGAGAACTAATCAGAAATGTGTCACTTAAGAACGCTAGGTTAATGACTGAAAATGAGCATTCACGCCATGAGAACAGAACTGCTAACACTGAATACTACTTGAGATTTAGCACTGCAATGCCTTTTACCTTGTTATCATCCATAACTGTGTTTAGTGATTCAATCCACATGGGATCAATATCTCCATCCAGGACTATCCATTTTGGTCCCTCATGCATCAGATTTGCTTGTTCTCTCAAAATGAATGAGAAGAGACCTATAAATGAGGAATTGTTGTTAGATGCTCTCAGGCATGGTACCTAACTCAGGGCGACCTCATACACAACTGCACACACTCTTGTGACTCGGGGGATTTTCACTAGCTGATTTTTAGAAATCATTTGGGCAGGACATCCTTCTTCCTAATCCTTATGATATATAATGAAGTTGAATGTTATCCATTTCTAAAATTATTTTTTTCTTATTCTACTCTCATTAATTTTTTAAAAGTCATTTTGATGCCTCTCAGGTAAGCAAGCTAGAAATCTTCCCATCCACACCTGGACTCCACCCCTCAATCTATTACTGTGCAATTCACCTTTCCATGGGAAGGTTCCCTAACTTTGAAGACAAAGCTTCCCAGGGCTAACTGGAAAAATAGCTTCTGAGTAAATGTAGTGGAGGTTTACAGGAAGTAAGGTATATAAAACTGATAACTTATCTCAGATGGACAAATTATTCATTCTTATGCACATATATTCAGTACTGATTTTAGACTACATATAAGTTTATTTCTTTTCTTTTTATATAATAACCCAGGAGTACAACTCAAGACCTGAAGTATTCACAAATATTACAAATCCCTTTGAGAAATATGATGTATTAGCATAATTAATATCTGTTCTTTATTAAATGGTCTATATTAATAATGAATCTATATTATGCTAATATAATGCCAATCACCATATTTATATGGCATTATATTAACTTAAGGGGGAGGGTGCTGTTACATAACACTATGTATATTGTCATCGTTGATGCTGTTATGTACCATTGAGTCAGAACCAACCTATAATGGACCCTCTAGCTGGTGTCCAGAGGCAGTTAATCACATAGGAGGAGATTGCCTATCTTTCTCTCATGGGGCAGCTGATGGATTTGAATCATGTGACTTCGGGATTGCAGCACAGCTTCTTAGCACTAGGCCACCAAAGCTCCAAATGTATAGATTGACAGCCTATATAACAAATGGTGCTGGCAAAATTGGAAAACCACCTGTAGAAAACTCAAAGAAGACCCGCACCTCATATTATACACAAAACCCAACTCAAAGTGGATCAAGGAACTAGACCTAAAACCAAGGACTATAAACTTAATTAAAGAAAAGTTTGGAAGAACCCTAGAAGTCCTAATCCACAACATGAACAATCCTCCAAGCATCTTGAAAAACCTACAACCAGGAGAGGATAAAATAGATGAATGGGACCTTCTAAGAATCAAATCACTATGCACTTCTGAATACTTCTCCAATGGGGTAAAAAGGGAAGCCACAGACTGGAAAAAATATTTGGTAATGACATGTCGGCTAAGGGACTTATAGAATACTTGAGTGCCACAATAAGATAAAGGTAAACAACCTAATTGAAAAATGGGCACAGGATATGAAAAACACTTCACCAAAGAAGACATTCAGATGGCAAACAAACACATAAAGAAGAAATGTTCAAAATCCCTAGCTCTAAGAGAGATGCAAATGAAAACAACTATGATATATCATCTCACCCCAGTCAGAACAGAAAAAGTTAAGAGAGCAGCAAACAACAAATGCTGGCAATGTTGCGGAGAAAGTGGAACACTTATTTACTATTAGTGAGAGTGTAAAATGGTGCAACCACTATGGAAGGCAGTATGGCAGTTTCTCAAAAAGTTGCAAATAGAAATACTATTTGACCCAGCAATTCCACCACTGGGAATATACCCTAAAGAAACCATAGCCACGACCCAAGCAGATATATGCACACCCATGTTTACTGTGGCTTTGTTCACAATAAGCAAGAGTTGGAAACAACCCAAGTGCCCTTCAACAAACGAATGGATAGAGAAGCTCTGGTATATTCACACAATGGAATATTATGCAGCACTGAAAAACAAGGAACTCATGAAATATTATACAAAATGGGTGACCACGGAGGACATTATGCTTAATGAAATATCTCGGTCACAAAAAAGACAAGTACTGCATAATGCCAGGACTGACATGGGGATTGGGGGAAACTAAGAAAAGAGGGGATAAATAATGTACATGGCATTGAAACAGACAAGGGAGAGAATTGTATAAAAGGAATATATGATTAGGTATTATTGGCATGAGAAGAATCCAGATAAGAGGTGCATAGTAAAGTGGACTGTAACAATGAAAGAATTTTTTCCAAAGAAAAAAGCAAACTGGAGGTCAGGGGGGACAGGGAGAAGAATGTGCAACAATGAATGAATATAAATCCAAGTTCTCTATAAATTTTCATTAAAATATCACAAAAAAAAATCTAAAAAACACTTTAAAATTCATGATCCTTTCAGCTGTTACTCTTTATCTAAACATTTCATGTAAGTGCTGTATTTTTTAGTTGCTCTTTTTTCTTCTTTATTTCAATTTTTTTTTTATTTCAATGAACATCTACAGAGATTTTGGATTTCCATTCATTCATTGTTGCACTTTTCTCCCCGCTCACCCCACCCCCATCCCCACCCCCAGTTTGCTCCTCTCCTTGAAAAGTAAAAGAAAAACTCCTTCGTTGGTACACAATCCCCCTGCACTGCCACTCCCACCCCCACCCCGAGTATACTCCACTCTGCAACCCTCATTCAGGATTCATGATAATCATAATGCCCTAAAATATATTCCTTTTAAACTATTCTCTCCCTCATCTGCTTCAATGCAGTAAACATAATTTATCCAGTTTTTCTCAGTCTGCTCATTTTTTAAACTAGTTCTTGCTGCCATCCAGAAATCATGTGGCAGAAGGATGGGCAATCTCCTCTCATGATAACTGCTTCTGAAAACCTGTCAGAGGGTCAGCTCTGGGATAGGGTTCCTACTCTACGGTATACAACAATAACATTAATACTATAGTGAGAAAAACTGGCATGTGTGTGTATGTATGTATGTATGTATGTATGTATGTATGTAGGAAGCTTTCTGTGAAGTATTTTGGGTAAAAATAAGTGGCAATATCTAGTAGAAACTATTATTGTAATTCATGAAGAAGCCACCAATCTTGCAAGTGACCACTGATTTAAACTGCTTTCTGATTTTCATTATAAACACATACTATTTATACTAAAACAGCACTCCCTCCCTGCCAGAGTCCAACAGGATAAGAGAGTAAATTCTGGTTGCTCATAAATAAAGGTATTAGTGTCTATAAGCTAAGAGCACAGATTTAGAAGCAACATTATTGACAGCACAGACTTGTTACTTAAAAAAGTACAAATACTGGTGTTGGGATAAAGGAAGTTGAACCTATAAATCTGTAGAAAAGTAGGGACAGGTGATTTTATATATTTTGGTTGTTTTGTCAATATATGAAAAGAAGCCTTATTTCTTAATGTGTTGGAATTAACAAATGATCTGTTTTGTTGAGGTTTTTGTGTGTGGTTTTTTGGTTTGTTTGGCCTTTTTTCTTTGTTTTGTTTTAGTTTGCTTGGAAATATTACTGAATCTGTATAAGAAAGAAAAGGATGTTAAAAAAATAAAGAATCGAGAATAACTACTTTAGACAGGGTCATCAGGGAAGTGTTTTCCTTTGACCTAAACTACACTCACTGGGTTTTAGTCAATTCCAATTTATAGAAAAAAGCAGAACTCTTCCATAGGTTTTCTGTGGCTATAAAGCTTTACGGGAGCTGACAGGTTCATTTTTCTTCCACTGAGTAGCTAGTGGGTTCGAACCACTGACCTTTTGGTTTGCAGTTCAACACTTACCCACCAAACCACCAGCACTCCTTTACATTTGAGCAGATACTTCAGCTGTGCAGATAAGCAGAGGAACAGCTTTGCAGATGGATAGAAAAAGTGCAGCTGTACATGCAGGGAAGATGCTAACAAGTTCATGGAACAAGGGGCCAGTGTGAATTGATTATATGTAGTAAGTAAAAGGCTGAGTCATCATTCAGTCCCACTGAATAGCATTCTCACTCATGACAATTCCATGCATAACAGGGTAGAGTTGTGCTAAATAGGATTTTCAAAGGCTGACATTTTTTTGTAGATTGCCAGGTCATTCCTCTGATACACTTCTGGTTGGGCTTGAACCTCCAACCTTTTGGTTAACAGTTCAGAGAACAAACATTTATGGTATCCAGATTCTTCAAGTGGAAGGTAGAATTCAAGAAATGAAATCAGGGATGGGGGTGTGTGTCTTAATCACATAAAGTTGTATGGGCTGTGCATAATGGTAGGATTCGAAGGATCATAGGAATTAAATAGATATTCAAAGTGGAGAAACAGTATTTTGAAGCAAGCCCTGCATGGTCAACGGCCTACAAGGAAAACAGTGAGGGGACTATTTCATAATCTGAAATGGTGAGCAGTAACAGGCTTTAATGAAGATTTGGTTTTATTTGCAACTTCTTATAGGATGGGAAATATGACCCCGGGATCTTTGTACTGTTCAGTCACCCACTCACTACCATCTCATAGCCGACCCTCTAGAGGGTTTTCAGAGGCTGTAACTCACCCCAGAAGATACTGCCCCTCCTTCTCCCACGGAGTTGAGTGGGTGGATCTGGACTCCAAGGGAAGTGTTGCCTTTGGGTTAGCAATGCAACTCCCTATGGATTACACCACCAGAGCCCCTGGGAAAGGTTGAGAACCACGGAAAGAGAGGGAGACCCTCAACAAGATGGACTGACGCAGTGACTGTACCAAGGGTTAGAGCATGTTGGAAGGTTGGATAGGGCAAGGTTCCAATTTGTGCTTCTGAGTCACTAAGAATCACAGTCAATTCTACAGTGTCTAATAACATTAGGTACCTTCTGGTGCCCTGGGGCGGGGGTGGTGTGGGGTGGGATAGAGGCAAAGTCAGTTAACCATTTGGCTGCTGACCAAAAGGTTGGCAATTTGAGCCCACTAAGCTTTCTGACAGACAAAGATGGCTTTTCTCCTCCTATTAAGAGTTACAGACTTGGAAGTCCAATGAAAGGTCATCAAGAGTTGGAATCCCCTTGGATGGCAAAAAAAAAAAAAAAAGAAAGAAAACCAAAATAAAACATTGCCATCAAGTTGATTCTGACTCATACTCCCATGGGTTTCTGAGGGTAAAAGTTGCACAGAAGGAGGTTTCTCCTCTTTTTCCTGGTGAATGTGAACTGCCATACAGGTGCCAACTTTGGGAAGGCAGTGTAACTCTCTACTTATAAAGGTGTGTCTAAGGCACTCATGTTGACATCTTTATCCCATCACCTTGATGGGGTAGTGTGTAACTGTACAGTTGGAAGTCTGAATTCACCGAGTGCTCAGTCAGAGGAAGATGAATGGTCTCCTTCCATAAAGATTTACAGCCTTTGAAACCCAAAGGAAGATCACCAGGAGTCAAAATCAAATCAATATAGTGAATTCTTGTGGTTTACCAGGATCTCAGGCATAATTGATCTTAAACAAATGCACACTTCTGAATACGAATATATTGAATGCAAATTGTTTGCTTAAACCTACTTTTAATTTATAGGTTATGCTTGTTGTTGTGATCGGCTGTGTTTCCAATAAATGTCAATGCATAAATAGTAAATGTGTGAGTATGCCTAAAATTCGCTTCAACTGAAAATGGCATTCTAGCTAGGAAAAGAAAAAAAAGGAAATTTTTAGCACTTCAAAAGGGGAAACACAACTTGCCATCTTTCCATTCACGGGTAGCATGATGTATGAAACCAAAGAGTTCATCTGTTGTCACAGCTTTAGGGTTTAAGTCATTCCAAACAGGTTTCTGTTTCATGTTAACATATGTTCGGTGCAGCGTTCTTAGAATCTGAGAGAAAGAAGGAAAAGAGCTGAGAAAATGAAAACTAATTTAAGCCAAATGGAGAGAAAAAAAGGCTTCTGTAGGATTCTCCTCATTATATATTCCTATATACCTATGCACACTAAGAATGAAAGTGGAAACATACATATGCAAATTTTTATTACCATTTGGAATATTTAATCCCACAATCCCTTAAGGAGACAGAATCTGTTCACCTGATTCTTGAATGACTTCAGCCAATTAAGTCATTTCATCACTTAAGACTTTTAGTCTTGTGCACAAAATGGAAGATTATATCTAAACTATGCCTATGCATATAAAATGCGCCCTTGCCTAAATTACGAAGACCAGTTCTCAAAAGGTGGTGTCTAAGAGAATCACCCACAGAGGATACTGCTGGGCCCAACCTCGGGGTTACGAATTTGGTAGGCGCTGTGTGGGGCTGGTCTAGAGAATGACATCATGCCTGGTAAAGTGGATGGCCAGTGAGAAATGGGAAGACTCACTACAAGATGGATTGCAACAGCGGGCATAACATGGGCTCAAGCACAGCATCAGAGATGGCAAGGATGATGCAGGAGCAGGCACGCACGGGTCTTATGCGTCAGACCCAACCTGACGGCACTAACCCATGGCAACAACAGGGTGGGGTTTATCATTTGCATTTGCAACAATCTCCCTGGTGATGCCATCCATGCAGGTTCAGACATGTTCACGCTACTAGATCTAGAGCTGGGGTTCTAATTCCGAGACAGTCACCACTGAAGGGAGGGAGGTATGCTACAGACCTCGAGTCATTAGAGCCCAGGCCACTGCTATCCAACCTACATGTACTGGACAGTCACCACAACCAAGAGTTATCTGGTCTCAGTTGTGGCTGAGACACTCCGATCTAAATAAGTGAAGAAAAGAAACCTTGAGGTTAAGGACCCAGTGCATGTCCATTTAATTGATGTCTTAACACAAATATCTACCCCAACTCTACATTGTTTTCCCAGGAAAAGTCACTTCTTTTGTTTTCTATATTCGTGATCTTTGCCTATCCGCAGGGGTTTCTGAAGAGCATTTATCAATCAGTTAGCAATTAGGTAAACCATTGCTAAAGACTGTGGAAGAATAAGTTATTAACAAGCATGGCCCTGAGCTTCTGAGCTTTCATTATATCAACTCAAATTAAGTGTTGAACGGAACAGAACTGGAGAAGCTAGATGAAAGAAACTGAATGCCTTAGGGATGGTACATATATTTAGAAACCACTAATCTACTAGAAATTACAGAATTTATTTCATTTTATCCTTCCTTGAACCCTAGCCCACATCTGAAACTTACTCTAACAAAATAATTATAGGTCTTTCAATCATCTACTTTAATATTTCAATTATTATGTTTTCCCCCCACTAGGAAAAGACCAATAGTGAGCTTTCTTTTAGAACTAGTCCACTATGATTTCTGATTGAAATACTGCCAAGTTCTCTTCAGACCTATGTTCTAATGCCTCACTTGATTATTTTTAGTCACTGGCTACTCTATATCTCAGCACCATGAACTAAAAGACAGTTCTGCATATTCTATCTCCCGAACAAAAAAAGAAGTATATTGCCAGGACTGTCAGTTCAACCAAATTAAATCAAGCAGTGAACTAAAAATGGGGTTAATAATGGCCTCAGGGCATCACTGCGGCTTGTGTAAATCCTACATAGTGCATCTATCACTAAAAACAAAATCCATCCCTACATCAATTCCAAATCCCAAACCAAGCACACTGCCATCAAGCTGACACCCACTGAGGCTGCAACTCTTAACCGGAGACTACACTTTTTTCTTCCTCAGAGTGGCCGGTGCTTTGGAACTACTGACCTTTGGTGTGTAGCATGCTATGTCACTGTACCACCAGTACAGGGTGGTACTTTAGGGTTAAGAGGTACTTTTAAAATGTGGTGGGTTTTTTTTGTTGTTGTTTGATTTTTTTAATTTTTTTTAATATTACCTCCCTTTCTTTGCATGTTTTGTGCTGGCTGTATTTCTGAGACAGGATTGAAGGAAAATATTTGCAGTTGTTTTCCTTAGTGATGCAGGGCAGAAAAATAAGGATGGCTTGGGAAAGATATAAAAGTAGTTTTTGGTAAATGTGGGTCAAATAATCAAATTTTGCAAGCCAGATATTATACCCCACTGTCTCTCAAGATGTCATTCCTGAATGAAAGAGTTTCGATATAATGATATTATTGAAGGATGGAGAAGGTCTGATGGAGTGAATCTGAAAGGATATTTCATGTGGAGAGCACAACCTTCACTTCTGCCCCCTTGTCCTGTGTGAAAGAGACACTCTGAAGTCTTACTACCAACTCCATGCCAATAGTGTCAAACAATCAAAGAGCAACATTAGAGTCTCGAACTACAATCTCAAATCATGGCAGCTTTCCCTGTGGGGAATTCTTTTAAATACCATTGAAGATATGGGGAAATGTCCTTTCATGACTGAAGGCAAATAATTGAGAACCCTACCTTGCTTTTTCCTGTGCCTGCATTGCCAACAACAAAGACAGAGTGTCGCATGGCCAACAGTTCCTCAAGCTGCACCACCTGTAGGTCAAACAGTCAGTCACTGGTTGCCTTTAAAAAGTTGATAACAAAAAAAAGACAATCTACTCACAGCTGTCCGATTCTCCTTTCATTACAAGCCAAGGTAACCTCACTAAAGTTATGTTTGAGGTAAGCTTTCATCAACTGCAAGTGCAACAGAAAGAATACTTTCTCCTGGATTTTCACAGAGGACATGGGCAGGGAAAATCACACTACATCATTACCCACAGAGCCAATGAAGTAGACAGAGGGGTCCTGCTCATTGAAAGGGTTACCTGGCACAAAATTAAAGTGCTCTTTATGAAGGCTTCAGCCAAATTATCTCAAGGGCAAATGAAACATCACTGTCCATAAGTGAGTAATGTCACAGTCTCTAAAAATTGAAAATGGAAGCTACTATGTTGCAAGAGTGGCATCTACTTCCTAAACAACAAGTCTCTGGAAACTCTATGAACTTGGATAAATGTTGATAGTTATAGAAAGGCTTTAGGCCTTTTGTTCATAAGGTCGCTATGAGTCATGCTCAACTTGAAGACAACAACAAATTCAGACAAGTATATATATATATGACTATAAGACTTTGTCAGATGGTAGCCTCTTCACTTATTTTCATATGCACTGACTTTTCTTTCCTATTAAACTCATGTACTAATTATATCAACGGAATATGACAATAACAATGATGCTTTTCTCATCTCTTTCTAAAATGAAGGGAAGAGAGGACAAAATACATTTTTTATGCATGTGACCAAGAATTGTATGTATACTGAACTAATTAATGGTTATTGTAGTGGCACACCATAAAGTCAGAACTGCCCCATAGCTGACTGCCCAGGGGGTTTTCAGAGGCACTTAATCGTGTGGGAGGAGACTGCCTATCCTTCTCCAATGCAACAGCTGGTGCCCTCGAACTGCATGCCTTTGGGATTGCAGTGCAGCTTCTTGCCACTCAGCCACCAGAGTTCCCTAATTAACGGCTTGCTTGTCATTTAAAGCTATGACTTAATCATACCTATGTTTTTCACCTTCTCACAGAATGAGATAGACAAAATATTTACTTTAGTAAAGGCTGTCACATTATTATAAGCATTTGCTAATATCAAATTAAGGTCACTGTAATGCATGTTACTATTTGGTTTAATAATTCTCAGCTACAATGATTTTCACAGAAAATCCAAACACCACAAAGAAAAGTCAACGGTCCGTTTACTTTGAGGATGAAGCTCTCCTCGGGCTGTAGGCGAAGCTCCAGGGTGGACTGCCTGACCATCTGTTCAAAGTGTGGCGTCCTCCTCCTGGGCACGTCCAGGGCAGGAAACAGGTCACCCACCAGGCCCAGGAACACAGGAATGTCGTCAGTCACTATTTTAGGCATATTGAAGTCCCTCAATGCTCTCATAAGGACCTAGCAAAAGAGAACAGAAAACATTTTTTACTAAAATGTCAATACACGGTCTAACTAACAAGTAAATAGTGAAAGACATTATGTTTAATCTTCTTCTCCAAAGCATGAGATATTTGTATTGTTCTCTATTAAGATGCATCTTACCTGTTAAAAAACAAACAAGTAAAATACAATCTAATTGCCACCAAGTCTATACTGACTCCTGGTGACTCCATGTGTACAGACAAGAAATGTGTTCCATACAATGTGCAGTGACTAATTTTCAGGCGCAGAAACTAGCACAGGGGCTTGAGCATGGCAGGGATTGTGAGAATGGTGTTGGACAGGGCCAAGTTCAGACCTGCTGTTTGCAGGGTCACCATGAGCTGTTGTCAACTTGATGGCACCTAACAACAATATAACAATTATTTTTCAGAAGCAGATCACCAAATTTTCCTTCAAAGGAATCTCTGCATAGACTCCAAACTCCAACCTTTCAGTTAACAGTTAAGCAAGCTAACTGTTTGCAGTATCCTGGGACTCCATTCCATCTCTACGAAAGTAAATTTCTCCTCACAAGTTAATGCATCATGAGACACAACAAAGCCACAGCAGTGATCCACTTTTGATCTCGAGAAAGGATATCCTCTTTCCTTAATATACAAAGTCTGGGTGTAAATTAACTGGTCTCATTAGAGTAATGCCTCCAAAATACTCTGAGAACTTTAGAATAATAAAGCTAAATATCTGTTTTTCCTTTTTTATACTATATTGGCTGAAAATCAGAGATGGTTCCTACGCTTAGTGGTAAGGAATTGCACGACCAACCCAAAGGTACATGTCTTTCAATGTAACTTACTACCTCTGAAAACCTTTTGGAGGGTCTGTTATGTGTTAGTTCTGATCGACACCACACAATAGTAATAAAAAAAAAATCAAGATGGCTTTCACAAGAAGAGCTCAACAATAGATACAATAGAATAGGCAAACAAATGAGAGAAAATCTTGAGTTAATCATACATATTGACTGTGGGAAAGGAGAACTATACTGGATAAGAAAATATCACTATGAAGAAGAGTTTTTTAAAAAAAAAAAAACATTTCATAGGAATAGATCCCTTTCCCACCTATTTCTCAATTCTATTGCATGTCTATAATGATCTCTATGTATTCCTTTCATCATTTAATACGGAAAAATGCATAAGGCAGCTGTTATTTTTTTTTCTTCTAGGAAGCATAGTAGAACATCTCCCTAGAAGTTCTAAGCAACCAACAAGTCATTTCATTGATCTGCTGGCAATCTTCTTTACTGTTCTATTCTTTATGCACATCCTACAGCCCGTGAAACGTACATACTTTTCATGCAATTATGTACTGGCTGAATATTTAATTATTAATATGAAACTAAAATATTTTTCCTAAATGCTCTTCACAGGAAATCAAATAGTGATTAATAAAGCACTGTGTGTGCATATGTGTATGTGTGTAAATAATATGCTAGTTACACAGTGGTAGCAAACTGTTCCAACTTCTCACTCATTACTTTTATATGCACTCATTACTTTTCTATGCATTCTATGTCCTCTATGTGTGAGGATATTAAATATAAAACACAGTACTTCACTGTAACTTTCAAAATACTTTTGGAGCTGATTTTTTCCGAAGACTCATAAAATCACAATTTCTGTATGTTTATATTCTTATGCTTAAGAACATAGTGACTTTTCATAACACAGGAAGTATCAGTCTGTGGGATATTCTGCATTAAAAACATGCTATGATTGGCATTTCCTCAGAATAATATCTCACTGGTAGGAATATACTCCAAGGAAATCAGAACTGAGACGTGACTGGAGATATGTACACCTCTGTTCATAGTTGTGTTATTCACAATAGCAAGAGACTGGAAACAGCCCAAATGCCCATCAACAAATGAGTGGATTGAGAAATTGAAGTACTTACATAAAACTGAATACAATACAATACAATACAATACAATACAATAAGGAACTATGACTTTGTAAAATACTATGTGACATGGGATGGTCTAGAGAGCATTATGCTGAGTGAAATAACTCAGTCACATAAGGACAAATACTACATAAGACCACTACTGCCAAAATAGGAGGATACCTTGAGCAAAATATGTATAAATATCCGAAAGGGGAGAGGCAAGAAGAAAAGGTGAATAAAAATGAAGGGAACAAATTACTAGGCTAGCAGAGATTAGAGAGCAGAGGAGGGTGAAGGAATAGGAAAGATTCAATGGGGACTTGAAGAGATGTAATGATAATAGGCATAGACCAATAGGAATTAATTATATAAAATACCATGTATATGAATGATTGCATACAACAAAAATATTACTGCTTCTAAAAAAATAAGGCAGAATTTAGTAAGAATAACTACTATTTATTTATGCTAACTCTTAAAAAATTATGTCTTAATATTAATTAAGAAAATCAGCTACTATGATTCTTGACAAGAAAAAAATCTCATGTCTTATTTTGTAAAAGTTATGTTATGCATGATGCACCATCCAGGTATACACTTCCATTTACTCGGAACTAAAATTCCTCATTTGAAAACATCACATTAGCACATCAGTACCTGATCTTCAGGTCTATTTTTATCTCCTCGTTTAAGGGAGCCAGCTACCACCAAGACAGATTTAATAGCACGAAGTCCCCAGTCATAATGATCCTGAAATCAAAACACAGGTAGACACTCTCAAAAAATTTTATAAAGAAATATGATTCTTATTCCATAAGTAAAAGCCAAAAATGAAGAAAATAAGAAAAGAAAACAACAGACAAATACATTTTAAAGATTGAAAAACAGTATCTTCACCACTTAGTTGGGATTCTGGAAACCACGTGTTCTCCTGCTTCTTCCGCCTGACTTCTCGTCGGCAAATCCATCTATAAACACTGAACTGCAGCATTTAACCTATGTCCCAACCACCTCTCCATTCTCTTCCCTTAACCATAAATCTGCAAACTCAAGGGCCAAACTACTTCCATACACGTTCTCCTCTAACCACAAGCACATCTCTAGAGTTGCCCCCTGACCATCTTGAGATCTCATCATTTTCTAAACTTCTGTCTCTAACATCCTTAATCTATTTTTAATATTTTACATAGTGAAAACTATATTCACATTTAGCTATAAACCGATTGTTGTTGTTATGTACCGTCGAGTCGTTTCCGACTCATAGCGACCCTATGCACAACAGCCCTAAACCCTGCTCTATCCTGCACCAACTGCACTGCCTCTGACACACCCATCCCGATTACCACAGTCACCGAATCAATCC